AGAAATTGATCCACTTCGTCAAGAAATTGATCCACTTCGATTAGAAAATGAGTCTCAATCAGCAGAATCTCGACAGAATAGGAAGAATGTGTCTGTTTTGGATCAAGTGATGGATGAAGCCATGAGACAGTCCACTCCTTATTCCTCAAAAACTTCAATTAATCAAGAAATTGATCCACTTCGTCAAGAAATTGATCCACTTCGATTAGAAAATGAGTCTCAATCCCCAGAATCTGAAGACATTGGAAATGATACGACAATGAATCGACTAATAACTGAAGTCATGGATCACTCCATTCATCATCCCTTAAGGACTCTAGATTACCGAGGAATCAATCCTCATCTCCTAAAAAATGAGTCCCAGTTCCAATACGACATGAATCAGTTTTCAGACATGGACCAATCATATTCAAGCCACAATGAATCATCAATCAGTTCAGATCAGAAAGAAACTCCTCCAAATTTCCTCAGTGTTGATCCCCAGTTCCAAGAAATTGATCGCAAAACCTTAAGAGGTGAGAGAAGAATGGACCAAATTATGAACGAAGTCATGAATCAGTCCATTCATCATCCCTTAAGGACTCCAGATCATCAACAAATCAATCCTCCTCTCCCAAAAGATCAGTCTCAATCCCAGGGCTCTGAACAGAACATCAAGAGTGACGCGATGTTTAATCGACTGGAGACTAACGACATGAATCAGTCTCCAGACATGGATCAATCATATTCAAGCCTCTGTGAATCATCAATCAGTTCAGATCAGAAAGAAACTTTTCCAAATTTCCTCAGTGTTGATCCTCAGTCCCAAGAAATTGATCGCAGTACCTTAGGAGGTGAGAGAAGACTGGATCAAATCATGAACGAAGTCATGAATCAATCCATTTATCATCCCTTAAGGACTCCAGATCATCAACAAATCAATCCTCCTCTCCCAAAAGATCAGCCTCAATCCCAGGACTCTGAACAGAACATCAAGAATGACGCGATGTTTAATCGACTAGAGACTAACGACATGAATCAGTCTCCAGACATGGATCAATCATATTCAAGCCTCTGTGAATCATCAATCAGTTCAGATCAGAAAGAAACTCTTCTAGATGTCCTCAATGTTGATCCTCAGTCCCAAGAAATTGATCGCAGTACCTTAGGAGGTGAGAGAAGAATGGATCAAATCATGAACGAAGTCATGAATCAGTCCTCCATTAAAGAAGAGAGAATGACTCCAGGAGATTCACAAGAACAAATCGATGATCAATCATTCAATTTAGCAGGCATCAAGGTGAAGCGTCAATCCCCTCATCGAGAATACGTACGTATTGGAGATCATGAGGATCTTGAGGCAATTGCATCTCAGTCAACAAGAGATCGTTATCAAGCGAAAAGTGAAAGCCAATCATCATCCTGTCGTGATACACTAATAATTGACGATCCTCTTAATAGCGAATTTTCTCCAGTCTCATCAGATTATTCAAAGTTTTCTCCATCAAGAAGAAGTCGTCATCGGGTAACGAGTGACACCCAATCATCATCATATCTTCATAGATTGATCGATCATGCTCTTGACAGTGGACTTTCCTCAGTCCCATCAGATGGTTCTGAATCAGTTTCAATTGACAGAAATGTTCGAGATTTGGGAAGAGAGAGGACTCTAGACTCTGATGATGAGGATGATGATGAATTTACCCCACAAGCTAGACCCAGGGACATCCTTCAAGCAAATGTTGATGATTCTTTGGTCATTTCGAACAGAGAAAACAATAAGTCCATGAATGATCGTCGTAGAAATCCAGGGGATGATTATTATTTCAGAAAACATTTTGGTCCTGACGAGAACAAAGCGATGATTGATGTTCTTATCCAGGATAATCAGATCGATCGTGCAACGAAATTGACATACTGGATGGACATTGCACAGTTGCAACTTCCAGGCCTGAAGGGTCGCTCTGGAAAATCTCTACACAATCGTTTCATGAGGTTCTTGCTGTCGAAGCGGTACGCAGCATATACTGGGAATCCACTTGCTCTGGCGCAATTCGAGGCTCTGTATGAGGAATGGTTCAAGGGATCCAGACCTCAGGTCTACGAAGTGGTGAAGGATGACAAGTAGATTTAGGTAAGACAAGTAGATTTAGCCTTCTTAAATCATCAATATCTTTTGAACGAATGAAATGATTTGGACGAGTCAAGTCTCATTTTGAAGCCACAAAAATAAAATGGAGTCAAAAATTTTTCATTTCAGTTTATTCAGGAGATGAATCTACTTGTTACTTCACAACTAGTCGAAGAGGAGTGGAAAATATATATATATTTTTTTAATTTTTATGGGGTGTATGGAGGAGTCGGTGGTGATATGAGGATAGAATGCTTTATTTCCTTGATCATAGTTTTACAGTTTTATATGAGCCAATTGCTGCTAAGATGATTGTCAAATCGTGTGTGTGATTTTATTTATTATTAAAGAATTGATTCATTACAATTTTATTCACTGTTTATTATGTTGTACAAGATAAAGTAATGACAGTCACACAGGAGGAAAGAATAGCAATTGACAGAATCAAGCAGAAGCCGTAAATGGCGAAATTATTTATCCTCTTCAGATCACCCTCAACTCACTGCATCAAGTTTCTATAAAATTAATAAATTGTTCAAGGCATCTTTCAGATTTTTTTCCATTCCCTTTCAGCTGGAAATTCATCAAATTACATCGATAATACAAAGCTACAGCTCATCGAGATCAAATTCGAAATTAATAAAAATGTCAAGTGTAGTTTTTCCGTTTTTTCATATTCTGCACTAGTTAAGTCGCTTTGGGAGTAAAAAACTCCTGAAAGGCGGGGAAAACCCAGCGCCATGAATTCTCTGTCAAAAGGGGATAAAAAAAGCAGAAGGATAGTTTAAGAAATTTGTTCATTTTTTAGGAACTAGATGAAAGATGTTGAAGGTGATCTGAAGACGATGAATAATTCTAAGAGTGTTCAAAAATACGAGGTGGACGATAGGTGTGAACACCGCCATCTTGCTTACATACCCCCTTTGCCATAAGGAACTTCAAAGATGGCGGCGGCACCATCTCGAATTTTCAAACATGTCTTAAAATTATTTATCCTCTCCAGATCATCCTCAACTCACTCGATCCGGTTTATACAAAATGAACAATTTTTTAAAGGCATCTTTCAGCCTTTTCCATCCCTTTTCGGCTGAGAATTCATGCCGCCAAGTCTTCCCCGTATTTCAATAGGTTTTTTTCCTCCCGAGGCCCCTTCAATCTGATTTCAATCGACATATTCTCTTCTCGATGGCTCCCCTCCGAGGAAAAAGTATCCTCAGAGATGCTGGAATCCCTCGAGGGCAGCCGTACCCCCACGTTCGCCACACATATGTCCACAGACTGCAAGAAAAACATTCCAAAAAATTCCATCATCCCCGAGAAAAGTCCCCCAAGAAGAGTTGCATAAATCAATAAACGAACTCACATCCTCACATCTCCTTCTTTCCCCCCTGCATTCCTCGATAAACTCCTTATACTCCCCAGGAATCGCCTGAGGGGGTAAATCCTCGAGGATCAGTTGTAAATTGCTCTCCACAAACTCGGAGCACAAGCCATAATTCGTCGAGAATATGTTGAATGTGAGGGCGGTATGTCCCGGGAAAACACCTCTCGGTGGTGAAACCCCCAGACAGATCTCATTGATCACATCCCATCGGAAATTGATATCAAACTGGGACAAATTGGTGACTGTAACTAGAACAGAGAGGATCTCGGGATCGAGTTCTGTTATGAAGAAATTGCAGAATCTGTTGTCTTCTAATTCCACCAGACAAAACGATTGTCTTCTTAAATTAGGGCCGAAATGAATGAAGTCCCAGCGGAACATGACTCCGTCCCCCAGGAGTTCGAAGGATTGGAGGGAGTAGTTGTCGCAGACGACAAACACTTTCTCCACGTGGAGACCGTCGACGTTGGGGGTGAAGAAGATCCTCAGGATCATGGACTGGTTCTGACGTACGTAGAAATACGCTGGCCAGAGTGTGAAGCTGGTTGTTATGAGCTTTGAAGTGTCGGTGAGGTCCTGAAATGGAGGTGGGGGGAAGAATTTGATGTTGGGGAGTTGTTTTTGGCGAATATTCTGGTAATTGTGGGAGGTAGCGAGTCGCGAGGGTCAAACGAGCCTCAGGGACATCTAGAGTTGAGGGTCAAACTACCCTCTAGGATGTTTAGATGGTGAAACAACCCTTGAATACGATCTTCAAGAACGTTTTTGAGGGTCAAACGTTCTTGAGGTTTTTATTAGGGACCTTTTAGAAGGTTAAACGTCCTTCAGGGTTCATGGACGTTTTTGAGGGTAAAACGTCCTTGAGGGTTCTTTTAGGGACCTTTTAGAAGGTTAAACGTCCTGCAGGATTCATGGACGTTTTTTAGGGTAAAACGTCCTTGAGGGTTCTTTTAGGGACGTTTTTGAGGGTTAAACGTCCTTCAGGGTTTTATGGACGTTTTTGAGGGTAAAACGTCCTTGAGGGTTCTTTTAGGGACGTTTTTGAAGGTTAAACGTCCTTCAGGGTTTTATGGACGTTTTTGAGGGTCAACGTCCGTAAGGGTTTAGGGACGTTTTTGAAGGTTAAACGTCTTTCAGGGTTTTATGGACGTTTTTGAGGGTCAAACGTCCGTAAGGGTTTAGGGACGTTTTTGAAGGTCAAACGTCCTTGAGGGTTTGAGGACGTTTTTGAGGGTCAAACCTACTTGAGGATTTTAGGGACGTCTTTGAAGGTCAAACGTCCTTGAGGGTTTTAGGAACGTTTTTGAGAGTCAAACAGCATTGAGGGATTTTTAGGGACGTTTTTGAGGGTCATTTTTTAACGGTTGTATTTCAAAAACATCCTACAGGATAGTATTCAAGGATCGTTTGACCATCCAGAGGGCTCTTTGAGTGACCCTCGAGAACGTATCAACCTCAAATACAAGTATCCTCAAGAGTCGTTTGACCCTCGAGACCATTTGACTCTCAATTCCAAACCTCATTAACCCGTAAGTAGGCGCGCTTTTTTTTAGTATCTCACGCGCACTGCAGAGACGTCCTATAGGTTGACTAGGGTTGCGTGAGAAAAAATCCCCTAACGACGGATTAAGGGTCGTTAGATCCTTGAGACCATTTGACCCTCAACTCCAAACATCTTTAAGAGGGATTTGACCCTCAAGATCAGTTGATCCTCGACTTCGGACGTCTTCAAGGGCTGTTTTCTTTTAAGTTTAACTGAATAGAGAAATGAAAATGAGAAGGCGTTTGCATTACGATTTCTATTTTCTTCATTATCAATTATCAGACATACTGTGATATTCTTCGAGTGCCAGTTGGCCTCGGACACGAGGAAAAATCTGCCTGAACTTCCGAGATTCGTCAGTTTAACTTCAATTGTCTTCTCGTCACCAACAAGGCATTCATTGCATTCTAATTCTCCATCGCTCGTTAGACAGGTCAATGATCCCCTCTTTGGGCTCCGGGGGAAGTTCGACTGGTTGAGAATGAGATCGTCTTTGGCGTTGATGAGGGTCGGAGAAGATGAGCTGTCCCTCGGGTAATTTTCACCTGTAGTTCCGTAACGCGAAATAAAAAACAAGACAGTGAAATGCAAAATAGTACATTTCACCAATTGTGCGTAAAGGGAAATTGTACGCACGCTCTGCGTGCGCAAATTCACAGTTTTCACACATTGTGATGAAAAATAGGGTTCAACAGTGGGGGAAAAAGCGGGTTTTGACCTTTGAGAGGGTAGCACTCGCCTTCGGCAAGCGTTACACATCTTCCACGGATCAAAAAATATTTGCGCACTCGTATCGAAATATATTATTGTTACTAGTGCGTAAAGTTCCACTTTTGCGCACGCACGTGTAATACATCCTATTTTCTGTAATATCTGTGGAATTTATTGTTCACAATAGTAGTGGAGGTAAAGTGGTTGTTTTTATGCACGAGTGCGTAAAATTCAAAAGTTTCGCTCACGCACTCGAAATTCACTTTACGCACACTCGAGAACTTTACGCACGTCGTACGGAAAACAAGCGCTTTACACACACTAAACCGTTTCGAAAAGTGCACTCTTTGGGCAGGTATCACAAAATAGTATATTTCGATATGAGTGCGTAATTAGTATATTTCGATACGAGTGCGGAAAAGTGTTTTTTGGCTCGTGGGAGGTTCATAGCACAATAAGCCGAAGGTGAGGGATACGATTCCAAAACGTGTTTAGTGTTGCGAACAGTGAATTCGGCAGGTATCACAAAAAATAGGATGTTTTACACGTGCGTGCGAAGAAGTGGAACTTTACGCACTAGTAACACAATAATATGTTTCGATACGAGTGCGTATTTTTTGATCCGTGGAAGATGTGTATCGCTTGCCGAGGGCGAGCCAAAAAACACTTTTCCCAAGAGTATCGAATGATATTTTTCATCACAATGTGTGGAAAAGGGGCGTTTCAGGCATGCGAAGCGTGCCTAAAAAGTTACTTTTTCGCACAGCGTGATGAAAATGTGTTTTTTGACGCGTGGGAGTTGTGAGACGCTCGCCGAAGGCGAGTGCTATTCTCCCATGGGTCAAAGAACACTTTTCCAATGAGTATCGAACTCTATTTTTCATCACGATAAGCGATAAGCAGGATTTTGCGCACGCGGAGCGTGCGTAAAATTTCATGTTACGTACAAATGATGCAAAGATCTTTTAAGAAATTTCTTTCAATCTCTTTCCTTTTGGGAATGTCTGGAGAATCAACTTTGAATTCATTTCAAAACTTTTCTCCAAATATCATCAGACCTTTTTACCGAGAATTTTCTGATCTACGAAAGAAATCTGATGCTTTTTCCTGAAGCAATTAATTCCCAAGATAATTAAACATTCATCAGTCTTCACCTATAAAAACTGGTGGGTCTCTGTGCGCCAGAACGTCGATGACTACTGGTAATCCCCCTTCAACATTAATCACTATCTTCTCACTATAATCCTCAGGACTCATCGCTTTGAAAACAAGAGTCAAAGTGGTACTCATCCCCGGTGCGAGATCCACCCTGTCTCCACTTCTCGTTCTCCAGATTAATCTCAATTTCGAGGCGTCGAATCTTCTCGCTAATTGGTATTTAGCTATCGTCACGTCACTGACGTTTCGGATCAGGATGATTTTCTCAAAAATATTATCACCATTAAATAATCAAATTTAGCAATCAAGAGATGAAATTTAAAGAATCAACTATTCAAGATCTAATTATTTTATCAATGCCACGAGCCATTTTTCATCGAAAAATGATCAATTATTTTGAGAACACAAAGTCAACATTTTTTTTAAGAAATAATTTTTTGTCTGGAGAAATGAATCGTTTGACAATTTTTGAAAATTGAATCGCGTTTATGAAATTGATCATTGATTAGGAGAAAAGATGAAGATTAAGAGGCCTCGGGAGTAAAAAAAACCTGTGAAATGCGGGGGAAATTTTACGCCATGAATTCTGACTCAAAAGTGAATGAAAAAATCTGAAGGATAGCTTGAGAAATTTGTTCATTTTCTAGGAACTGGATGAAATCAGTTGAAGGTGATCTGAAGAGGATAAATAATTCTAAGAAATGTTGAAAAATACGAAGTGGTTAACAGATGTGGGCACCGCCATCTTGCTTGGATCCCCTTCCCTCAGCCGCAGGGGCTTCAAAGATGGGGGCGCCTCCACCTCGAATTTTTAAACATTTCTTAAAATTATTAGATCCGATCAATTAGCCCCTCATGTATAGATATTCCAAATTTTTATTTTTTTCCTCATTGAAGTAGTTTTGAAGAAAATTTCGAGCTAATAAAAAACATTTGCTAGTTGGAACTTTTTTTAAAATAAATTTTTGAAAAATCACCCCTGAAAAAAAGGCGTTATCCCCCCTATTTCATTATTTCCAAACAATTTTATCACCAATCGGTAGCAAATTGTTTGAAGATTTTTGCGAGTTAAGAAAAAATCGTCAATGCACTCCTATTATTGTGTAAATTAACAATTCCAATTTCAACTGAAAACCAGAGTTGATGACCAGAGTTTGTAACAGAGATGTCAGACAAGATATGAATGTTTTTTTTTGGCTCAAATGAAAGAGCGGCTTGAAAAATGGCGTGCAGAAGTCTTTAAAGATGACAAATGTCTCTAAAGATGATGTCTGTTTTCAACGGAAAAGCAGAGTTGTGACATCATTGTCTAGGAGGACAATGGGGTCTAGGAGTATGTATAGAACATTGGTATGTATAGACTAGGAGTATGTATAGAACCTAGACCATTGGGGTCACTAAACTATCTGTAAATTATCTTTAATTATTTTATCGACAAAGACTGAATGCGATTAGTACAACATACGTCTGATCAATCGTTGAGAGAATTTTACGGGCGTTGAAACTGGAAATGAATCAGAGGTGGAGAACAGGAAAATGTCCCTCTATCTGTCGTAGATGTTGGGAGGGAATTGTGAATGAGAAAAATAAACCGAGAAACCTGCTGAATAAGGCGAAATAGAGGAATTACAATCTCAGAGGTAAATTTACAATTATATTATTATTCGATTTCACGGAGGGCCGGATCCTCCGTGTAATTTTTTTAGGTTCACTTCTTTCTCTCTTTAAATAATTAAATTATGATTCTGTTATCATCACTTGAAGCTTAGATTTGATGGATCAATTAATTAATCATAAGAAACTGGTGAAAAAGGCTCAAATTATCGAATCTTAGAGGTAGGGGGAAGTGGGGCAGAATGGGCACTGGGTTTTTTTTT